CAAAACAAACACTATAAGCCTGTCCTTGTGGAGTACAGGCCTTTATTAAGTTTACTTTTCAGACTTTTTTCACATAATTATGGCATATTTCTGGTTTGCTTCTGGTTTAAGGGCCTATCTCTCTGTGCTCTGGCTTAGTGCTATATTTACAGTACCGTAATATAAGATCCCGACACTCAGAATTCAACAAATGATTTCTTTAAACACATATTATTGTAAACCATAAATCATGGGTTTATGCACGGGATTCACACACTACATTAGCCTAGCACTCAAGGGTCTTCCTCCTCGTATATTCTAATTGGTCTCCTCTGTATTACCCTTTCAAAAAACTGAAGGATGGGCTTGTTGTTGATATTATTGGAATAAGTAATTGTCTTTTGTGTCTCAGTTGCTCACAAAGAAAATCATTTGTCTGACAATTCAAAGTTACAAAACCAGAGGGGTTGGGCTAAAATTCAATGCAGAACTTAATAAACTGAAGGATTCTCTGAGCTCATGTACCAGAAAGTTTTTCAAAAGCCGTGCACTTCATTACAAACCAGCCGGCTTTGAAGAGCTGAGGTGTGTGAGAAGCCTATTCATTTTCAAAACGTTTCATTAGTTTTAGACGACAATGACCTTTACTCATGAAACGTGGTCTCTTCGTAACATTGTGTAATATTAAGTTACTAATGTTATCATTAACTCTAAAACAGAGGTTAAAGGACATTTATCAAACATTTTCTTCTTTCTACAAAAACATTTTCCAGAATCAAGACCATAAGATCAAAGAGCAGGCCACAAATCATTCTTGCTGGTTTTGGAATGTACACCTCTCTGCAAGATAAGTGTTGGTCAAATGGGGATTTTGGAAAAAACAAAATCCGTTATAAATGTTTACCGGTTGTTCACGACACATATTAGCTAAGCTGTTCTTTTTCCCTCGGCTTCAGGGTGACGTTCTCTTGCACATAATCTTTCACATGTTAAGAACGCTCTGACAGCACAAATCTAAATCCAAGTCTTACCTGCCACGTCCTCAGACGTCCAGCAGGTCTTCCACATCTCTTGATATGTCTGGTACCTAAGGAGCTGGAGGACTTGTCAAATCCGTCTGGTTAACCATTACATCAATCACATACATGTAATTAAGAGCTGCACTCGAATGGAGCCCTACAGACTGTGGAATTCCAGGACTGTAGCTATATAGCCCTACTTCTGTGGGGGGACTGTAGGCAGATCTATACTGTCTATACTGCCCAGAAAAGTGCTTCCCAGTAACAGCAACAGTAACTGTAACTCCAGTCTCTTCTGGTTGTCCTTCTTGCTGAACAATTGGTTGCTTAATCAAAGCACTAATGTAATTAATCAGACTTTTTAAACTGTTTTCTGCTCTTAATAAATGCAGCTTTCAAGTTACTTGCAAATACATCAAATCCACTTTAAAACCTTTTACAGCCGCATAGCTGAGAATAATTCCATAACACCTCACTAGTGAATGATTAGTTAAATCAGAGATTCAATTGCATAATCTCTGCCGGAGCACAAAAAGGGACAGACGTTGGGATCTCTGTGCAAACCGGTATTTGGAGCTCTTGCCCAGAAAGAGAACAGAAAATCCTGTTTTTGGTTGAAAGGAGGAAGGCGTTTTGTTCAATAAGAAGTATTTTGCTCTTGTTTTTCTTAAACAGAAATCCTTGTATAAACCTTCACAAGACCCCTTGTGTAAGTATCAACCAAGCTATCGGGCGACCTAAGTAAACCAGCTCCCAGCTTGTTTCTTTTTGTCAGAGGAGGCCAGAGCCTGTCAGCCCTTCAGGGGCGTGACTGGGGTCACTGCCTTCCTACTGAACAGCCTCTCACCACACAGTGCGACAGGGCTTAGTCTTGACTGAGCTGTCCAGCAGTGGATTTCCAGTGACATGGCATTCATTCACTCATTCATTCGTTCATTCAGCGCTTTTTCACCACAAACCTCCTTCCCCTGGGACGCCCCCTCCCCTCTACCCCGCAACAGCCCAGGCGAAAGGTCACCGGTAAGCCCATCTTTCTATCACGTAGCACTACACAAGGTAGAAAAACCATCCCGTTTTCTGGACAGTGGACTTGTTTGGCAGAGAAGGAGCTGCTGCTCAGCGGGGTCAGAGCGGGGTCCTGGCGACCTGCCTTGTCCAGGTGTGCATTCACTCTAACAGGGCCCACGGCCTTTTCCCACCAGCAAATGTTTACTGAACACTTCTCCCTGTGAAGTGGCACCTCCAAGAAGCCTTTGCATTGTCCTGTAATATCAGAATCAGTGTTCAGTAAATATAACCGAGAGTGCTCTTCCCTCCCACAGCACTGGAAACAACACTGGAAGTGAAGGAGTGAGGAATTTGTCTGCTCTATGTGGTCACACTGCCATTTTGTATTCACGGTTTAGAGAGGTTGTTCTTTGGGAAGACTTTCTAAAATGAACTTCCAGCATGAAACAGGCCCAAGAGAGATTATTAGTGACTAGCCATTTTTATTGGTGGCGTGGGGATAGTCAGCAGGTGACGAGGACCAGCTCTGAAAAGAGGCGAGCCTTGGATGTTCTCTCGTGTGTTTCGATGGCGTTGCCTTTTGTCATGTTCTAGCGGCGTCACACCCATGCTCACCGCCAGGTGGCACTCCTGAGAGATTTGTTTCCAAGGGATCCTGCGCAGTTCACTCCCCCCGGCTTACACACGTGCTCGCTGCCTCCTCTCCGTTCTGCTCTCCATTCTTTAATTGCACAGATGAAAAAAAAAAGACTGTTTAGTGGAGCTGTTTTTTAGCCTTTCCTGGATGGCTGAAAGTAGGGCTTCTTAATTGTGCTGGCACGGCATTTTTAATTAAAAATAGGCCTGTTCATTAATTAAGCTGCTGCACGGTTTACGCTCTATAAGGCGTGAAATAAAACAACACCCAAAATAGAAAGTACTCTTGCCACGCATTATTTTTCTCTTCAGTCCTATCAGACATTTATTGCCGCTGTTAGCTGATGGGCTCCACTAAGTCCTCCGTGCGGCACCTTGGTAAATTCGTGAAAATCATACAACCGGCGGTTAACTGCCTCGACCACAGCTCGACACATGTGAATTATTTTGAAATCAGACACAACTGCATTTTTTTTTCACTTCTCGTTTCAGTGCCTCGCTGCGTCAGAGCTGTAGCTTAGACAAAGGGCCACTGTGCAACACAATAAGTTTTTTTAAAAAAATGGTCAACTCTATCCTAGGCTTATATCTTTGCGAGACGTTTGCGTTGAACGAAATGGGGAAAAGAGCTTAGGGTGGCGGCGTGGGCTGATGAAATTCTCGTTTTCAACATCAGTGGAGCTACTCTGCTCTTGTCTAACGGCTGCTCCTGTGCTGAACTTTTAAGAGAATTGTGTTTATTTTACACCCCTTTTGACACACGCTAAAAGAAACCGCTTAATAACATTTTAAGTGGTTGGACGGACCCGCTTCCCGCGACAAGGAACAAGCCCAGCATGCTCCTCTCTCTCTCTCTCTCCCCCTCCCTGCCCTGCGCGGTGCAGCTGCAGTGACCCACGCAGCAGACAGGTGGCAGCACAGGGATGGGGAAAACGTGTTAAAGTTCAGCGGAGAGCGCGCCGTGCAAGAGCGAGCGCAGCTCCCGGCCGCGGCAGGGGCGAGCGAGCCCGAGAGCGGCTGCGCCCGGAGCGCGTGTGCTGGTATTTCTATTCATTTTTAGGGGTTTTCTGAACCCTCGCCGAAACGTGCTGTGAACGGCGAGAAGCTGCCTGACCCAGAATTGCAAAAGAGCTCGACTTGGTTTTCTTTTTAAACGTGTACAGAAGCATAACGTCATAAATCCCCCACCATCGAACAGCGTTTATTTTAATATTCCTTTATTTTTCTCTTTCTTTGTCACCCTGGTTATACAGATCCGTCGCCGGACAGAAAGCCCTATCATCAAAGGCTTTTCTGATTCTTTAGGAAATTAGGAAAACGACGCTGAAGAAAGGGAGTTGATCTCAGAGCGTGTTTTGATTTGCTTTTTAGTTTCTTAGAATTTTGCCTGTTAGGTGTTGCTTCACGTCTTGCGGACAGGGGAGGGTCGGTTCTCTTTTTTGTTCGGACAAAGCAATTTTATTTTGCTTTGTCCGAACAACCTGTCCGCACCTGAAGAAGGCTCCACGGCCGAAACGTTGTGTTTTTTCTCTCTTCTTTTTTTCAGCATGGAATAAACCTATTACTTGTTCCTTTGCAGCCTACGCATGCTGATGCAGCTCCCCACCTGAACTACTACAATTTTATTTTTGTCTGAGATTTGGTCAAAGGAGAAACAGGAGTGTTTTGTGTGGGTGTGTGTGTGTTTGTTTGTTTGTTTGTTTGTTTGAACTCCTGGCGAAGTGTGAGACAGGCCGGAGAACCTGAGGCCTGAGAAGCTTCAGTCGGGCCGGGTTTTTCGCTGTGCAAGGTTTCCCAGTTGTGAAGCAACACGGTTTCAATTCCTCACAGCCTGCCAACAGGACAATGACCTCAGCCACACAGGGTTAAACCCCACTCTGGCTATGCCGTCTGGATCTCGTCCAGTCTTTCTGATTGGATAGAGAAAACAGACGTCAAGGGTTTTGGTCACTAGGATCCACGGCTGGAGCTGTAATTAAACACGTTTTCAGAAGGGGCAGGCAAAGCAGGCATTGTCATCCCTTTGTGAAAAGCACTCATCAGCTCATTTCATGGACTTCAGCTGCGCCCTGTCCTCGTTGGAGGCAGCAGCTTAGAGATTTCAGCGGTGGAGTTTTCAGCGCACAAGCTAAACGAATTCCGCCCTCACGTGAGGGAAAGGAAAATCTTTTCTCTCTTTTTTTTTTTTTCGGGAGTGTAAACAGGCCTGTGCCTCTTCCATCTCCCCCTGCCTTTTGCATTTCCGCTAATGGCGTTAAAGGAGCGAGAGAGCCCTGCTCGTGGTAATTGCCACACAGGACTCAGGCGTTCTTGGTTTCATTAAAATGCTGCACAGCCCCACTATTCCCCAGGGCAGGGAGCAGGCCAGTTTGGGGGGGTGGAGGAGAGTGTCTGTTTGGTGGGGGGGGGGTAGGCAGGCAAGCAAGGTCTTCACTGCTGCCCTCACTTAACAGAGGGGGATCCTTGTCAACGTCAGACCCTGGAATGATTTTCCAAAGGTGAGCAGACAGATATAAAAAAGAGAGCGCTTTCTTTTCCTCACCCTCTGCTCATGACTGCTCTGTCACGTTTCTCTCTCTCTCTCTCTCTCTGTCTCCTTTCTCCCTGGGTACGTGTATCATCGTATGTATACCTTTTTTACGACCGGTTTGTAACTGGATCATGTTGTTCCCGGAGCCTGGTGGCTTGTTTTCCCGAGCCGTCTCTTGCAATGTGGGGCGCCACCCTGTAACGAATGTGTTTTTTTTATTTTACAGTTCAGAGGGCCGTGGCAGGCTTGCTGTTGTCAGAAGCTGATGACCTTTCTCCAGTGCTGAGAGGAAGCACCAGGAGTCATGGCGAGGATGGTCGAGAAACACTTTAGGCCCGCAAAAAACACAAAAACACACCTCGTATTAAACACGATTTCTTTTCCCCCCATATTGCATCGTGATCTCAAACTGTGTGGCCATCTTTTCTACACCCAAGTTCATTATTGCTAATTGCATGCTCTTGTACAGTGCTTTTCATCCCAAAAGCTTCACATCTGGGAAGAGACCCACTTCTTGCACCACTGAAATCCAGCACCCATGTGGTTGACAACTTCAGCCATTCTGGGCCACCAGCCTTACCGCACAGCAGATCAGGAGAGGTGAGAAATTACTTCAGCTGCTGATGTAAGGAGGAACTTGAGGTGAACTTGAGGCCGAGGGTGGAATTTCGCCTGGACGCCAGGGTTACACCCCTGCCCTTTCAAAGCGCGCCAATGGACATTTAATGGCCAAGAACTCAGGACCTCCGTTTTAACCTCACATGAATGATGGACCCTCCCGCAGCAGAGTGTTTCAGGTCACCAAACTGGGACGTGAGTTTGGAAATTCGGGTCCACAGGGAAGAGTACCACTACTGGTCCACTGACACCAGTAGCAAAGACTCGCCTGGCTTTCCCCCAATGTCTCCCAGCCCTGTGCTGACCAGGTCTGACCTTGCGTGGCTCCTGAGATCTGTGTGATCAGGCTACGAGGTCATATTGCCGCTGTGGTTGCTGCTGCCCAAATGCAGGGCACATGTTAAGGTGAAAAACTAAGGAAATTTAACTTGAGGTGTTTTATGCAATCAGGCGCTGCTGCTTAAGGGCAAATTTGCATGTATATTAACACTCTAAGCTTGTGTTACCTGAAGCAGACAAGCTAATGAATCCCAAGGAATTAGCACAACTTGCTCTGAGATCCTACACTTTCTCAGCATGGTATGGATTCATATTTAATTTTGCTACCATTTATTATTCTCATCTATATATCCCACTCCACCAAAATGTCCCTCTACTATTACATTAGGACCTGAGTTAAATCCTACCAATGTGCTCCTGAGCTACCGTCGCGTCTGCAAATAAATCAGAGCTATTACTGCAACCCCTGTGCCTGCAGTAGAAATGTGTCACCTTTATTTCTGGGCAACGTTGATCCAGTCCCCAAGCCTCTGCTCACATGGGAAGACATGGGAAGCAGCCCTGTTAATTCAGGAAGTGATTAGGATCTTATCATCAAAGCCCTCTGCCCTTCCTATTGCAGGTTATTGCTTGCAGTCAGCAGGTGAAGAGGTCACCTTTTTGCACAAGTTCATGTTCATACACATTCCCTTTTCAGACCAAGTAAAACAATACATATGATGCCTATATTTCCTAGTGGGCTATAATTCTTTAGACTCTGCATATAATTTCAGTCTAGTATATTTAGGCAGGCAAATAACAAGAACTGGAACAGAAGGACCTGGCTGATATAAAGCTAAATAAGAAAATTGAAATGGGCTGATGTCATGTTCACACTGAAACCCCTTTCAAAACCACATGTGACAGTGTCACTTCGGTGTTAATGCTGTGGCTAGCACTGCTGTTGTGGTCTCAATGGATATGCTCAGCAGAATAATGGCAAAAAAGTTATTGGGAGATTTTCCATCGGTGTAAGAAGCTGTAAGGGGTCTCAGCCACTCCAAAAACACAATGGTGCATGCCGTCCTGCCCCTGAAAACTCCTCAACATCCCTCTCGTGTCTACATTCAACCACCTGCTTTCCTGGGAAAGACAATATTAGGCAAACATTGGAAAGGTGGCTCCTCTGGGTGTCAATACAGGATTGTATTGATTCGTACACAGAACCTGTGAGATCAGTTAATCTTTTCTGCCAGAACAGACTTGTGTGTGGCCACACAGGACACAGGCATGAGAGAATTTTAACCATGGATGTAACTATGGAGATATGTGCAGCGCAGTCATAAAATATTAAAAGATGCACATTATATATGCTAGAAAATATAAAGATTCCCCCTCATACATACACATACACACCGCACATACATCACAAATTAACTCCTTCTTTTCTCCCTGTCCTGGATCAAATTCTTTCTGCCTTCAAAGTTTTAAGTATGCAGGCTCCTAATGGTGCGGACTTGAGCTTTCTAATTACACGTACTTGGAGAATGAGAGATTGCTAGATGGTGGAAAAAAGAAATTGCAGCACTTAGAGAGCAGCTCTTCCCTGGGTGTCTGCCCTTACGCACATCACATCTCTGGAGCTCCTTGACACTGCTTTTCAGAAGGGCTGGGGCTTCATCTCCTTTTATTGTTTGTAATGTTTTAATGAGGTCGAAGCTATTAATGACCTCTGCAGCGCCTTTCATCCCCACGCGATGGCTTTTACAGCTTGCCACGCTGACTCAGTTAAGATGCTCCCGCTCCTGCGTTGTGTAAAACGTAGGGGGAATGTGCCGGGGTCTGCTTGCCGCGTAAGTGAGGCGCACATTTCGTTTTTTTCGTGCTTCTTGTGCTCTTTCCTGAAACAAACCAGGCTTTGGAGCGGACATCTCTCTGGTTACCTGCTCAGTCGCCGTCTGGAAATCTGGCAGTGTTCATCAACAGTCACAATTCGCGCTCCAAGTCAAACAGACTGAATTTCATACACACCTCACCAACGCACACACACCAGAAGAGCAACAACAACAACAACAACAACAACAACAACAAACACAACAGCCAGAAATGATAACACACCCAGACCAGAAGAACACCACTTTTCACCTGAGGTGGCTATTTGACATTGAATTCCAGGATTATGTAAAACTAATTCAGTTTTACTGGGCTCGGAACAGATGGCTATTTTATTCAGCTTTGAGTAGTTTTGTTGCTTGGCAATGGGTTCCAAACCAAATCAGGGACCTTAAACTGTCACTTAAGAGCAGTGGAATCTCGTTTTCCGCAGGAGGCTGATTGTGAAATTGTCAGTCATTTCACACAAATAAAGGGTTTCATACCCGCCAGCAGACTTACCTCTTTATGGAAAATGAATATTGCCTTAAATGAATTGACAGCCTATACTTTTATATATCCGAGAACCCTTTTATAAAACTAAATATATAATAGACACATGTGAGCACCCCAGACTGCCGTTACCACTACCATCCAGCTGACTGTCTTCGTTTCGAAAGGAAAACGAAAACACGAGTCGCCCGATACTTATTTCTGATCTGGACAAAGTGAACATTTGTCCAATCACTGAGATTCATGGGCTCTCTGAAGAGATTCGAAATGGTGCAGTTACATCCAGTAACTTATAAAGAGTGCCATAGCAGTAGCTATTTGCACAGGGGTATGTATGTTGATAGAGGGGAAACTGTACAATTTGTTTTGCTACATAAGTAAACTGCCAAATGTGCTGCTAAATAACTGAATCATTTGGTCCTACAACTTCTGAGTGAAAAGAAAAAATAATTGTTCATTTACAACTAATAATATTTGACAGTCTCAGTATTCTGTACTCCTTGTTAAGTTTATAAATAGGTATATTAATAAGTCTTCTACACATCATTAGTATGTATGGCCTTTGCCAATTAGCCTGTTTTGGCAGATGGACCACTCAAGTTTGACTGCATCTTTGGGTTTAATTAATGCGCAGAGTTTACGCTGCTTTCTTCCAGGAATTCTTAAGCATCTGTAAAAAAAAAATGTTACACATGCACGTACATTTTCTAAATTGTTCAAATGAGCTTTTTGTGTTATATATTGGGTCTCAGTCTATCTGCATTTCTAATTTTTTTTGTACTCAAGGATGAAAGACGTGCTGCCTTATTTTTAACACGTTCTACTGAAATTTCCATTGTAAACGGGTTATTTTAAAGCACTTCTGCCTCGGTTTCTCTCTCTCTCTCCTTCGCCCTCTTTATTAAGGCGGGAGTTTCCAGGAAGAGCAGAGCAGGCGGCCCCATCACTCGCGGAGCAACACAGGAATGCATTGTGTATGAGCGAGCGAGAAAGACAGGACAGCCACAGAAACTAGTGCGCAAGTTTTACAAACACTCCCAGGGGGCGGGAGGCCCCCCCGGCGGGCAGACGTGCGGAAGACCTCACGCCGAATTTCGTGTTGTCCGGCAGACGTTGAGAGAGAGCGCTGGGTTTGGTTTTTGGGGGGGCTACTAAAACACTCACACATAAAAGTGAACCGTGGAGGAATCAGGAAGGTTGTTGCTCCGTGCTGCGTCCCCGAGTCGGAACGCGCACACACACACTGTAGATTGGAGAGAAAGCGCTCGCTAAAACCTGGACCGGAGTCTCGTATCTACCGACGGGAAAACCGCCTTAAAAACAAAATAACACTGTGATTCTGTTTCCCGCACTGTGGCATCGCAGTGTGGCGATTTCTCGGCGTGCGCCTCCGCTGGGAAATGCATTTTGTTCGACCGCAGGCGGTGTATTTCCCGTGTTATCGCCGGTCTGAATCCAGGCTACGGCTGAAATCCCCCGGGAGGTGGAGCCGGGGTACTCTGACCTCCAGACACAGATACAGCTGCTAATGTAGCCGGGAATATGCGAAAGGAGACGTTCAGTTACAGCGCGCAACATTAAAATAATCGCGTGGACGTGCACAACCAGAACACCATCGCAAGTGCTGTGCAAACACGCTGGGTTTGGGTGGCAGTCCGGGGCGATAATCTTGCATTTCGTCACACCGATACACTGAAACCCTGTGCTGTTGATCCTGCGTGACATGCATCATGTATGTAGGTTCAGTTAAAGCGCGCCCGCCCCCTTCCCTCAAGTGCAGTCTCGATTAAATACTTTCCCAGTAGCAATATGAATTAGGCACACTTGGTACCATACGGAGAAACTCGAATGTATTGTAACGTTATGTATTTTAACTGTAGGCTTAATGCAATCCTATTTGAATGGGCTGACCTTGTATTTAATTTGGGTCAGGTTACAAAAAAGTGCGGTCCGGTTCAGTGACACATGAAGAAAACAGGCGCGCGTTGCAATGAGACAGAACAATAATGTGTTCTGTCTCCGTACTCCCAAAACTTTAAATGCATCGAAAACATACTGATGTATTCGGTTATTTGCATCTCCTTCTACCGTTTAGATTCTTAAATTGTTGCATCTGTTGAATTCTGTT